GCACATATGGTATGAACTAAACATTGCAACTGAAAAGGAAAGTAGAAACCTTTTCTGAATCATCTAGAGCATCCTTTTCATCATCCTCAACTGTTTCCCAGCTAGCAGCATCATCACTAATCTCACTCCCAGCACCAATAGATTCATCATCATCTCGGCCAACAACATACACTGCTTGAGGGCCAACCTGAAACCAAGCTAAAAGAAAATATCAATCAAGGATCGGGGAAGCAATTTGATAGAATATCTGCACATAAAATTACTTTCTAACATTAAAAATAAACATATTATCAGTGTTCAGTGTGGTGGTAAAGTACCGTAGAAATCATTCCATCAGCCCATGTTACTTCAATATCACCATTTTTTAGGCTAGTAATATTCCCAACCCATGATAGATTTGAGAGTTCATTACAAGCTGCCTCATCAGATGCATCCCCTTCTTTGATGTTAGCAAGTGTAGCGGACTCTCTAGGGTCAGGACATTCAGCCTCCGTTGCCATGAAAGCTGGGGACAAGCGAACAACTACATCCCCATAACAATAATCATAATCAGGGTGGCCTTCTAGTTCATATACACTAACAACTTCCTCATTTTTAAATTCCCGGGGTTCTTCTGGTCGAGTAACCTGTTTTAACCATTTCACACAAGCTGTCTTCTCCTTAGCATCAACACTTTTGACAACTCCCACACGTCTTATTTCAGAGGTCTCTTCACCATCATCAGCGGCTTTCTCCACTACATATTGTTCAGCAATAAAGTCATGATCACCTGGGCTTTCAATTGGAATCAACAATGTGGAGTCTAAGCCCCGCTGTACAGTTCCATCTTGCCACGCAACATCTACTCTTGTCATAGTATTAACAATCAAAAGAGCTCTTTCATAAGTCTCTTCCTTTTTCCGTACCTTCTTATCCCTCTTAACCACAACTTTACGAAGTTTCTTTCGATGAATTTGCCAACTTTCATGGGCTGCGTCCTTAGAACTTGATTTTGGAGACAAGTTGTTTTGAGTATTTCCACCAATACTCTCTGATGTGCCTGCCTCATCATGATCCATCAATTCAACATGTACATTCAAATCCTCTGGTATGACTTCATCTGCATCAGACTCTGGATGACCAGATTCAGATTCATGAAGTCGCAACTTAGACAAATCTTTATCCAAAGGAATAGAGGAAGAAGATGTAAGGGCTGGAAGAAAACACCAGTCACCCAGCTGCCAACTAGCATGAGTAAAACAAGATAACACTTTTAGGTTTTTAGGATTCTGCTCTTCTGCTGGAGAAGTGGAAGAATTAGGACCATAGCCAGCTGAAGCTATCCAATGAACATATACCGATCCAACAGTGACCTTAATGACAGTACCCTCAAGCCGGTTAGCTTTCCATGAACCGGATAACCATCGAGCATTCTTGAAAACCGAGGAGGAGCTTGCCCTAACATGCTGACCAGGATGATATGGACAGTGCCCATCCTCAAGCAAGTTCTTTGCAATTGGTCTTAGCCGCAGAGGCTCAGCCCCCGTGACTTTACAAATAGAACCATCATTAAATAAAACAGTCACGTTATCAAGAACATCATCAACTCTACCCAGCCATGGACCAGAAACTACATAGTCATTAACAACAATATCCCTCACACGCATCAAATCCCTGGAAGATACATCATTGAAAACAGTCCCATCATGGGATAGTAAATCAACAGTTATATTTACATCCACCACAAGGCCTACTTGCCCAGTGGGGTCCAAGGCAGAGGCTACATAATCACCCGGTAAGAAACCCCTATCTACAACTGTCAATTCATTCCGACGATTTGTGTTCTCTGAGTCATCCATCCACAACACACGGACCTGGTCTCCAGTAAGTTGCTCTCTTTTGTGATGGCCAGAACTTCTGTTATCATCACTGCTCTCATTACCATCCCCATCATCTCCATCATTCTCAACATTATCCTCCTCCTTCACCTCCTCCCGTACCCCATCCCCTTCCTCCTCCTTCACCTCCTCGCAAGCCTCATCCTCTTCCTCCTCACCTTCCTCTTCTCCCTTATCATCTTCATCTGACTCATCTGAATCATCAGTAATATCACTATCTGAATCTGAGTCCGAATCACCAGCAACTTCAGTCACAACCCCAACCATATTCCCGTCCCTACGCCTCACAACATCTTGTCTATAAATATGTTTCTCGTTTGGTATTTTATCTATAACCAGATTACTATCATTTTTTGCATCACGATTAGAGCTAACTTCTGCACTAACACCCTCACTCGATAAAGAATCACCACTCACACTTGTGGTGCCCTCAACAGCAATTGGGGCATCATGTTGATCAGTTGCCATCTAAGAAATAACCAAAGAACACAATAAGACTACAATGATAAACCTAGAAGAAAAAACAGAAATTAAGAATAGCACTCCTACTTCGAAAACCCGACATAAAAACTATATAAGAAGCATTAAGCTGAGTCAATGGCTCCAAAACTATATACAAAATCAACTACAACTATTTATCTAGGTCCAGCAAAATTAATATAGACTTTCCTAAGGCATACCAATTATACCCAACATCAGAAAGATAAACCCAATCATTAATCTTTGTAAAATACAAAATTCATCAATATTAAAACCCTAAAACAACAAAAAATAATCATAAATGCTCAAACATCGAACATTCTTAAGCCGCCATTAGAGATACAATGCTAAAGATCTTCAAAACCCATCAAATTCATTGTATTGATGCAAGAAAAATTGAAGAGCGTAAACTAACAAAGATGATATTAACAAACCAATTAAATCTTGAATTGACAATAATATGAATTAAACATACCTGAAAAATCGGAGGATTTTGGACAGAAATACAAAAAATAAAAAGACAAAAAAATAAATAAATAAAAAGGGTTCAATCAAAAGAAATTAAACGTTGAAATGAATGGCTCTTTAATTGTTCAAATTTTTGATCGCAGGTACAAATTGTGAGAGAGAGAGAGAGAGAAAGATAGAGAGAGAAATGTTTTTATATGGAAGTCCAGAAAATGGAATGACTTGAAGGGAGCTGAAATGTTCTTCCTTGTTAGGGTTCTAATTGTACTTTCACCGCCATTTACCAAAGGGGAATATTTGTGAATATATGGAGTAGAATATAATCTAGGGACTAGGGTGCTTTGGAAAGAAACCTTAAACTGATTGGTCGGGTCGGGTTCGAGTTATGATTTAGTATTTGCTTACGAGTGTATAATTATGTTTAATATTTTCTTTTATTTGTAGTCAGATTTGATATTCGTTGTACTTTATCAAAGCTGATTGAGTTTATCTCAAATAGTACAATAGTTACTTCGTTTACTCGAATAGTTAAGTACGGTTTATGAAAAGTCTTTGATTGGTCAATAAGGTTTGTGTGTCAAAAAAAAAAAATAAGGTTCATTTCTTTTAGTCCAGGTTTTTGTATTCATTTTTTCATTAGATAAGCTAACATATGGCTAACTTTGAGCAACTGCGATTCCCTTTAATTTGACTTACTTCATGAGCTAAAACGAGGACTTTTGGTAAAGAACGTACAACACGTAAGTTTTTTTGAATCAAATGCTAGCTTCGTCTTCCGATAGATCAAGAGTTTAGGTTTGATATTTGGGAAGCTGATTCATTACTATTATATCCAAACAATAACATATAGAATGTGAAGGTTTCTACTATTTAGAAAGAGGCATGATGAAAAAAATATAATTAAAAAAAAACCAAAATAATAATAATAATAATAATAATAATAATAATAATAATGTAGTAATAGTTGTTAGAATGTTCAAAGGAATGAAGTAATAATGTCGCATTATGCCTAAATTCTCAAGTTGATTTTATTTTGTTTTAAAAAAGGACATATTATGTTGTGTTTCAAGCATATCACAAACGTTAATTTGTTTTCCTCAAAAAAAAAAAAAAAAAAAACCGTTAATTTGTTGGTTAGATTGTTTACATCATATAATATAGGAATGAAATTATAATTGGGAACATATGGGTGGGATGTTATGTGCAATTCATTGAAAGGAATCATAAAAAAATTGTGACCTTCCCAAACAGGTAGGTCAAACTTCATAATTACATGGCTTGTAATATTATTTTGTGTATAATAATGTCTAGGTATGGCTTGATGTGTAAGCATATAAAATGATTTATTCGGTTGTTCAAGCAAAGAAATGGGTTGTTCCTACTTGAGAATACGAGGGGAAAAAGAACATTTTCATGGATGGGGAAAGGAACTCTTGTTTGCTAGGGCAAGTAATGTAATTCTATCACGATTCTAGCCACAAAAATTGTGAGAGAAAAACCAATTTCTATTAAAATAATGTTATAGCAACTAATTCCAATTTTATATCCAAATCCAAAGTCAAAATATTATACAAAAAAATAGTCAAAGATTTTAAGTAAATTGATTAATGATTTGATGATGAGCTTATCATGATTTTTAATGAGCAAAATTTGACATTTATAGTCAATGTACTACCTCTGTTATAAATTATTTGCAACGGTTAGACATTTTTCCTCTAAACTTTATGTCAAATTGTTGCAAATAACATGTAACGAAGGTAGCATTCTCTCGAATAGACAATTCCATATCAACCTCGAGTCCCTGACCATTTAATGGCGCAGTAGTCAATATCATATTCAAAACGTCATATAAGTTAACACCAAGAATAAACAAAGCCCAAAGATTTATACTTCGTATGATTCAACTTGGTAATTTTTTGGTCAAAAATAATTGAAAACAAAGGGGAATATTTGGGACTCGAGAATATTACTTGTACATTAGAACTTAGGCATGTCAAGCATTAGTATCTTTAAGCAGATGATATCGAGGAGATTCATGGTTTTGTGGCGCAAAGGCTTCGGAGTCCACATCTTCAGCAACCTGTCTTCTCAAAAACATGCACAGGTCGTTTCTACTAAGCAGTTCAAGCCAACAAATTACCCCTTGGCCTATATCATTATAACAACTTGACAAGGTTTCCAAAAATCAAGCATAGTTAATTGTATTATTAGCAACAGAAATATTAAACATACAGATATCGACATTCTGGTAAAATTTTACATAGGACAAATGCAACGAAATCCAAGGATATACGTAGCCTACAATTGTAACTAAAATCAGTAAATGGCGCTAATAATAGTACATGAGGTAGGAAATGCAATTAAGTTCTACCCATCATAGACACCCTCTGCAAATTTATTTTCAGGATAAAACACTGCAACCACTTGGCTTCCGCCAAATTTCCTTCCGTTCATTCCTGCTCGTGCTCTAGAGGAACTTTCTGTGTCAGCATATTCCAGAAACACCTAATACATACATTGAGAAAAGACGATTAGAATTATCAACCGACTCGAGACTTTTATTTGAAAGGAAGCGGGTTTGTTAAGAACCTTTCCAACCCCAGGTGCAAGTTCTCCATTTGGTCCTGGTCGTGGGATGTCAACCCTCACTAAAGAACCTACAGACAGCAAGGAATTGCATCAATAAAATAAAATAGTAGAAAGGCCAACAAATCAAATGTTATGAAGCCTGAAGGAAAAGGGAAACAGATAACAAGTAAAAGTTTAGAGGGAAGTTTTGTCTCAACTTATGGCTGCTTTTGGAAGTTTTGTCTCAACTTATGGCTGCTTTTTTACAGCACGACTACATGGGAGTGACAGACTGACAGCAGTGAAAAAACCTAAAACAAAGGATAAAAAAAGAAATACTAAAAGACTAAAGGGTCCAGCCCGAAAAAAAATGGACAGCAGATACATACCAAACTTTTCACCTTCCTCTTTCATGTCTACCATTATATCTTGATACTCATCATCATCTTTAAGATCATCAGCAGTAACTACTTCGGTCAAGCACACAACTTTGGTGGGAAGTGGTCCAGGTTGAAACATGAGCTTCTGCAATTCAAGATAAAGCGATCAATGATACACACTAGTTAAAGCAAGTGGAAGAAATGAACATATAAAATTAATAAAATAAAATAAAAAAATCACCTGCAACAGAATCTGCTGTTGAGCATGCTGCAATACAATCTCTTGCTCAGGCTTTGGTTGGACTGCTCCCTGATTAGCACGTCTAACTGTGAGTGTTTTATCACCCATTTTAATTCCATTCAGAGCTGCACAGGCTACATCAGTGACTGAGGGATCATTGTAAACACAAAAGGCATAACCCTTTGAGTTCCCAGTTTCTCTGTCCTTCACAAGGTCAAAACCACGAAGGGGTCCAAAAGATTCTAATAGCTCCCGAATCTGCGATTCAGTTAAGTAGTAAGGTAGCCCACCAACAAAAATGCGATCTGGGCCCTCGAGTCCACCAGCTGACCCAGGTGTCAGTCCAACAGCAGCCAAGTTCAGATTTGGATTGGGTTGACTAGGACCAAGGGTTGCAGCAAGACTTGGGTTGTAGTCACTAGGTCTTCTCACCTTAACTGGTGTACCCTAAACAAGTACACAGCAAATCATATTTAGTCTCAGCTTATGGGACTGGGACTATCAATTTAAGAATGAGGGAGTACTAGCTTATAACAATTTAACAATTCAGATTTATTACATGGAAGCAGATGATATACATAAATTGCTCAGCAATCCCTAGTAAAAGCAAGGTAACTAAAATGTCATCTACACAAGAGAAATGCAAAATACCTCAAATATGATACCATCTAATGCCATAGCATTACTAGCTTCCTCCACAGACCTCATCTCAACAAAAGCAAACTTCTTTTCATGATTAATATAAACGTTGACAACAGCATCACCTAAGCACGGCAAAAAAAAAAAAAAAAAAAAAAAAAAAAAAAAAAAAAAAAGGGAATCAGTTAACAAAAGATTGTTTTCTTCTCAATGAAGTTACAATTTCTACACAGACCTGGTCCGGCAGTATTTCCTCCAATTGCAGCCATAACATGACTAAAAAAGGTTGCCACTGACTGCAAGAAAAAAATTTTATATTAAAGTCATTGCAGTGATAGAAGCAACAATAAAGGAATAGTAAAATTATCCAGAACACACAATAAAGCACTGAAATAAGCAAATCATTATGCAGATAGAGAAAGGCGAAAGGAGGACCAATAGAAAACCCTAAATAAGATGATGAATTAACCAAAAAAAATATTAACAGCTCTCTTTTGGGGGAAAAAAAGGTCAAGTTTAATTTCACAGGAATAGAACCAACATGCAAAAATGCAAAATTGTCTCTAATAAACCCCTAATTCCCACATAAATTGCAATCTAGCAGCTATCAATTCCCACATTAATAAAATGTGAAGTGAAGATTTTCAAAAGGAGTAGAGTGAACATCACTCTAAAAAACTACTATAAACAGATAAAAGTAAATCAACAATAGGTCTCTAGAAATACCTGTTCATTGGCTGAAGGAGGAAGTCCGCCAACATATACTCGCCGAGCATGCCGAGTAGCCTGTGAAAAATTAAAAAATAAACTATTTTAAACAAGGAATCAAAAGACATATAAAGAAGATGTGCTGGTAGAGAAGGATCTACTCAGCCAACCTGCTGAGTCATAGCTTGCATAGGCATAATGGGAAGAGCTCCTAATGACTGCAAGCAAAAATAAATAACAATATCAAAGGCTGCATAAATAAATTAGATCTATACCAGAACACAATTGAGGATGCAAAGGAAAAAGGAAAAAATTTATACCTGCCCTTGAGTCAATTGTAACATGTTTGGGAACATTCCAGGGATTGTTGGAGCTGTTCCAGGAATCTGACCTGTGAAGGCTAATAACATAAATAAACTATTAGCAAGTGCAAAATCTAGTTAACCGTTAAGAAAAGAATGCAGAAAAAGAAGAAGTTATTTTTATATCTCTCCATATATAATTTATTGGGTACACTAGTACATGGAAATTGAAAAGTAACTCTCACTAATTACTATTGTTTCCTTGGCTCTTGCATTCGCATTAATTATAAGAGATAAAGAGGAAAAATAATTTAGATGCAAGCGCTGGAGGAAATTGCAAGACTACCAAAAAACAGGCAATAGTTGCCGGTTGAAGACGAACTGGTGCATTGATTCCTCCTTGTATATATAAGCTACAGAAGTCGGCTCACGCCCAATGTCAGCAGAGTGGGGCAAAAGACCCAACATTGCCTTCTTATGCAAAAAAAATAAGACACAGAAAACAAAAACACCAAACACAAGAACAAACCAAAAACATCTCTCAGTTCCAGAAAAAAATCACCAAGTAAATAACATAAAAAACAAGAAATTCAACACTGAGAAAACTACAGTATAAGTAACACCATGCATTGCCAAATTGAGACCAGGTGCTAACTTAATAATAAAAAATCGCAATACAGAATGACCAACCTTTTAGGGACAAGAAGACAGCAGTGAGGTGTGGGAAAGAAGGGAAATGAAAGAGAGATGGGGCACATAATAAAAAAGTAATAGCTACAATAAATCATCAATTGAACCACAAAATGTACCTGCAGCTGTGGTTAGCATTGCAGAAGAAGGAGGTGCCATGTCAAACCCGCTTATCCTTTTGCTGTAACAACATATGTTAGAGTCCACCAGATAAGAAAAAATGTCATGAACAGTTATAGAAGCATAAAATTATGGACCACAAATTCACAATAATGGCCAACTGAAGAGATATAAGTTGACAGATTGGAAGGAGAAGACTTTTAATTAGCCATTCAGTCAAATACTCTGATAATCTGATATGCAAAAACCATACCAACTGACCAATGTGGTAACAAGAGGTAGGGTAATTATTCAACAAGTAAAAAGTAATAATGTATAAAGGTAAGGGTTGGGGAAAAGGGGTGCACATGTAAGCAACCTCAACAATGAAAAAATCAGCAATTTTTTTAAAGGAAACCCATGAGATGCAATTTAAACACAAATGACAGCAAACATTCAGGCAGAGATTTAGTTAGATCTTATAATGCTATGGAGAACAAACTATTCAAACATTGACATGGTTTAAACAACTGGAACAATCAAGTGCAGCTGCTGCTACCTTCGGAAATTATAAAGAACTAAAGGCACCTAAAGGAAAAAGGAGACAGGCATCAGGAAACTTCAAAAAAAATAAATATTTATACTAGAAACTAGAAAGTATCACATTCCATCCTAATTATAGTTGACCATAAAAAAACCATAAACAATAATAGACAACGAAGATGTCTTGGTAAAGATTTTTCCACTGATTGAATAATTACATCAACTTCAACATCATCTCAACTCGTACAACAAGACTCCAATCCATAACATAATAGGGGATGTGGGAAGTATTCATCTGTATGCTTGCAATAAGTACTAAGGAGAGACTAAACTCAAAGGTTTTTAAGGACACACCACGCAGGTGGCAAGTGCATGTCCCGTATGAGACACCATATACAAATCGATGTTCAATATTCCTCAAAATGTCTTAGGCACAAGAGAGCACTGTTTTTTCCTCAACAGCTTAGACAGGCAATGACCATATAAGGGTAGTAGTAAAACAAAAGAAAAAAGGAAAGTATCAAACAAAATAGGAAAAATTGTCAAAAATAATACAAACTTTAAGCCATCTGCCAAAAACAAGTCGAACTTTTGATTATTTCTGAATAATACAAACTTTGGGGAGTATCCGCTTTAAACAAGTCATTTTACTTGCAACCTGAATGACCGGTTATATATTTTTTTTATTCTTTTTAATAAATTTGTTTAACAATGTAATTAGCTCTTAATAACTTTAATTATGATTAATTAGAAATAAAAATTTTGGGGGAAAAGTTTTTCAAAAAAAAAAATTGGGGGAAAAATATTAAAAAAAAGAAAAACCATTTCCTCCACCAGCCACCAGCGGCATCAACCTCCCCCCGGTGCCGGCCATGCCCAGATTCCCTCTCCCTCGGCGTCGACCCCCCTCCCCTACGCGTCACCCTCTTTCCTCGACGTTTGCCTGAACCACCGTATGTACCGAATCCCATTCCCCAAAACCCTCCCTCCACCGCAAAACCACCAAAAATCTATCCCCCACCCTCGAAAAACCCTAATCAAACCCTTATCGATGGCTGGGGAGGTTCGATTAGGGTTTTTTAGGGTGGGGGATGGTTTTAAGTGGTTTTTGCGAGAGAGGGAGGGTTTCGGGAAGGGTGGTTGTTTGTTCTAGCAAGTGTAGGGAAGAGGGAAAGGACGATACGCGGGGGAGGGGGCGGCGCCTGGCGTCAGGGGGATTTGGGTGCGGCCGGCGCTGACGGGTTGTGAGATAGGGAGGCTGGCGATGGTGGTGCTGGTGGTTGGTGGAGGAGCTGTGTGGAGTTTTTTAATTTTTATTTTGTAAATAATAATAATAATAATCTTAAAAAAAAAAACAATTTCAATGGTCAAACCAATAAGATAACGACATGTGTCTACATAACCAGTTAATTAGGTTACTAACAAGTCATAACTTGTTTAAAGTAGATACTCCCCAAAGTTTGTATTATACAGAAATAATCAAAAGTTCGACTTGTTTTTAGCAGACGACTTAAAGTTTGTATTATTTTTGACAATTTTTCCAACAAAATAAAGAAAACAAATTTTTAAAAAATTAAAATTAAAAATTAAAAGAAATCTAAAAGTGAATGTCATAGACTCATAGTTACCTCATATAATCTGGTCTCTTAAAATTTGATATTCCATAATAACACCTAATTACAACTAGTTTTCTTAAAATCATCAAGAGAATTAGAAAATAGGAAAGATAACAAGAGAGAAGGGGGAGCATATTTGCATTATTCTTCTAATAACAGAAAGTTGTACATAATAATGTAGAGCATATTGTTGTGACTGCATTCACTTTCAAGATAAAATGCTTTGAGGCATGAACATAACAAAAGACTTAAGGTATAACCATAAAATGTATTAATTGTCATTTGATAAGTTGATATCAGATCACTAACGATTCTAAATGTTCAAATAACCATTGATGTCAAACATTTTGCACTAGAATGAATATAATTCACATTAGCAAGCAAAAATATGTTGCATACAAGAAACGATATGCTAGAGATTATAGCTTTACCAACCTTTTGGAGCGAGAACGAGATCGAGACCTGGACCTATGCTCGGATCTTCCCCTTGAACGAGATCTGTGTTTGTGTCTATCATCTCTATCACGATCATAATCTCTCTGCCTAAACATACAAATATCAATCAATGTGGCATCAAGCGGAAACAAGCAAGCTTGAACGGAAGTGGGCCAAAAACTAGCTTATACAAGGAGATTCAAGGAGGTGGCAGAATACTTTTAACTTTCTATGCTCAACAAAGGCAGGAATAAATTCGCAATATATTACCTTTCCAATAAATTTAGCCCTCACATAGTACGACCCATTAAAGTTCAATAAATCTTGCCACAAAAAAATCAACACAAAAAAAATTTATACCTAACAAACAAAGCAATGTAACTCGTGGAAGCAGGACTTATTAAGCTTATATAATTCAGATAATAACCAAAACAACTTGGAGCAGGAATCAATATAACTAAGCTACCACGACAACGAGCAAAAAAGGCAAAGGGTCTTTTTAGTTACAGTGACCTACAATGGAACATGCCTCTGAATATCAATAATCCTCCATGCAACACTGCCATATATCATATACTCCCTCCGTGTTTTTAATAAGTGTTACACTTCCTTTTTTTCGGCAAAAAGCTACATTTTATATAAAATCTTTCTCCTTTCATGGTCCCCACCCAAACCTACTATTACTATTTTTATTATTTCTTTACTCACATTCATTATTTTTCAATATATAATTAATTCCACTATCTTTCTTTTACAATTTTTAATACTCCAACTACTCCACTTACCTATGTGCCGGTCAAAGTGTAACACTTATTAAAACACGGAGGGAGTAGCAAAGTGTTTAAAATTAATACCATGTGCCCAACCTTCTATATCACAATTTTGTAGCCACTATGTACAAACAAAAGTCAACACAACAACGTTAACCAACTTACAATGTTGTCCCTACAATTCCTACTTCCTACGATTAATAGAGACTGAATAAGTATCCTAAGATATTTCAGGCATCAACTCAAGTCAGAAAATTCCCAACCTATTAGTCTATTACCTAACGGAGGAGACCAGGACAGCTTCCCAACATCAATTTTAAATCAAACAAAAGAATTAAACATACAAAATTCCTTGTCCATTCTTATGTGAGATTATCGAAGGGAAAAGGTACCATCACCATAACCTTGACAAAAAACTAAAGAATTTAATAGAATGATTAAATTGTTACATAAAACTTGAATAAATAACCTACCAAGTACCAAAAACTACCAAAAGATATTACTGAGTACAACAAAAACAGTAAAAAGATGAACAACAAAAAACAAAGAAAGCTGAATTTATTACCTATCGCGATCTCGGCTTTTGTAGTAATCATCGTCAATGTCTTTATCTCTGTGGCGATCACTTTTATCACTCCTATCCCTATGCCTATCTCTGTGACGATCACGATCCCGATCCCGATCCCTATCCCTATCCCTTTCACGAGACCTGCCTTTGTCTCTCTCCCTATCTCTATCCCTATCCTTGTCCCTATCCCTATCTCTACTTCTCTCCTTGTCCCTGTCCTTCTCTCTATCCCTGTCTCGATCCCGATCTCTCTCCCGTCCCTTCTCCCTGTCCCTCTCTCTACTTCTTGAAGAACTCCTCTCATGATCACGCGAGCCATGCTGCCCAAAACATCATGTTAGCACAGAAATAAACAATTTAACTCCTAGACTACATGACAAAGCATATACTACAATACCACAATCAAGGTTTAATTATCACATTGATATCCAAATCACATTATCACGGCCACATTAGAGGGAGTACTGCTAAAAGGGTGCATCAAGCAAAGTACAGCCTTAAACCAACAACTCTAACAAATTCCAAACTTATTTTATCTGTTCAATCTTTACAGCTTTATTAATATCGTGTAAATTACATAATTTAGCAAAAACATAACCTATATACCTGAGATTTAGCATCACTGTTCTCATCTACACCCCTGTGATCATTTTCTTGAGGTTGCGGAGATGAACCATTTTTATCAGGATCATCCTGGTATTCCGACATCTTTCAAGGCTAATCTGTGGCAAACTGAAAACAACAATTAAAAATACTTCAATTACAATTTCATATGACATAGGAGAATTCGAATTTCATATAATACCTTTCAAAAAAACCAAAGTAAGAAAAAAAATATTCAGATCTTGTTTCAGTAATTGTAAATTCTAAAACAAAGAGATAGTGCAACACCTCAATCAATTAATTAATGCAATTTAATCACATAAATAATTTCAATTGATTCCAAAGTAGAACATCGAATAATAAGAGACAGAATCACGAACCCTAGAAAACTAACAATTCCGAACTTGTTTCAGTAATTGTAAATTCTAAAACAAAGAGAACTCCACAATCAATTGATTAATGCAATTCAATCACATAAATAATTTCAATTGATTTTAAATTAGAACATCTTATAATAGGAGACATAATCACGAACCCTAGAAAATTACATGCAAGAGCAAATTGAATACTAAATTGAGAGGAGAGAGAAAGAGATAGTAACTAATTGAGCAAAGTCGAAGGGGATTGATTGCAGAGAAAGATTGAGCAAATAGAAAACGCTTAGAATTGAGCGAACAGAAAAAGGGGAAAATAAAGAATTAGGGTTCTTCTTCCCCGGTATGGAGCAACACTTAAACACTATTTTGGTCTTCCACCAAATTGCGTTTTGTTCTTTTACGGTCTGGATTTTTTAACGGAGTAGCGGGGTGTTTGGTTGGAGGGATAGGAATAAAAGGGATAGGGAGGAAGGATAAAAATAGGGAATTAATAGATGGGACAAGGATAAAAATCCTTATCCCATGTTTTGTAAGTATATGAAATAAATTAGGAATAAGTAGTAAAATTATAAAAATAACCTTATTAACTTCTACGTTTTCCCTTATCCTTTCAATTTCATTAAGAGTAATTTGATATTTTTAGCCTAATTTTTTTATCCCTTCCCCTTATACCACCCCCTTAGTTATGGAAATGGAGGGATAAGGGGGTGTTTTAATCCCTATCCTCAACCCCTTTTAATCCCCATCCCACTAAACAAACACTACTTTTCTTCTTTCCTCATCATTTATCCTTACCCCTCCCTTTTAATCCCCCTAAACAAACACCCCCAAGGAGTACTAACCTTCAATTATTTTTACGACTAGTTGACGACTCCGAATATCCCTGTTTCGGGGGCAAGGGTGTAATTTTGTATACATTTTTTCCCCCTATTACTACAAGATGCACAAGAACAAATGATGTAGATGTAAGATGTTATTTGATCTCAATTAGGGCTTGTTCCTATAAACTGAACTGTAACTGATTGAACCGAAATGAATATTTTATGAGAGAAAAAAATTAGGAACTGAATTGAGTTGAACTGAACTGATTGGAGCTAAACTGAACTGAACTAAACTAAAATTAAGTTTAAGAGAACAAGCTTTTACTATTAAAAAAAATAAAAAATAAAATAAAATTAGCATTTGATCTCAATTGCTGATAGGTTTTGGGTATTTGCTCTAAATTATACTATGTAGTAACTAAGCTAAATAATCATCCACTTAATTTTGATCATCCACTTAATTTTGAATAAGTTTTACCACAGCAAAAGAATGAAAGAATTTAACAAGTTCCAATCCTTGCTAGTCCCTACCCCAAAAGCCTCTAGTGAAGATTGGAGAAGTAAGTGGTGACAAAATCCCTCCATAATAAACTTTTCAATTGGCTTGCCGTATTATATTACGGAGTATAAACTGAGTAACGACTAAGGGTCTGTTCCCATTGACTGAACACACCTGAATTGAATTGAACTAAACTTATTAGAGTTGAACGACTGAACTGAAAATTTTATAAGAGAAGGAAATTAAGAGTTGAACTGAACTGATTAGAGCTGAATTGAACTGAAAATTATCTTACGAGAACCGGCCTTAAATACTACTCGGTATGTATATTGCATTTTAGTTAAATCTATACTTCTATACTTAAAAACTATAACCAAGAAACTAAGAAAGGCACATGTCCCCATCCATTCTATTACACTTCTCTAACCATAGTGCCACATGTCATAAACTTTTAATTTTTTTATTACACCATTTTTTTTTAATTCTTTCATTAAACTTATACTTCATCTTATATATACACTTTATCTCTCCCCTTTAATTCAACCTTTTTCTATTCTCTCTTTAATTTTAGCCCTTCCACCTTTTATTTAGGCCTCTTTTTCGATTAAAGTTCCAAAATTTTAATTTCTTTAATCATGTTTCCGATTACATATTATACCTTATAATGACTTACTATTATTTCCTCACTTATCTCTCAATACAATTTTATATGAATATTCGTGCATTGCACGGGCCAAAAGGCTAGTTGGAATTAAAAAATAGAGTTAATATGAAACGGAGTAGTGAAGCCTTCTAAGTTCTGTTACAAAAGTTAGTTGTTTGATGTAGGTGACTTTGGTCTAACACAGCTGAAGTTAGACATTTTTCAAAACTTCCCAAAAGATGATCGTCTGTGTTGCAGTCGTCGGCCACCAGGTCTATCTTTCTCTAATTCTCTCTTCATCAATTTCCTGCATTTGTCTTTTGATTTATTTTATCTCCATCTTTGGAATTTTTTTTTTTTTTTTTTTTTTTTTTTTTTTTTTTTCTGGGTAAATACGAATTAACAAAATTGAAAATGTATGTTTTTTTTGCAGAATAATCCACTCTACATTCAAAGCTTTAATGAAGGTGATGATGCCCTTAAGCTTCATCACATCGTTCACTGCTCCCTTGATGTTATTGACGAACGAGGTTTTCTCTCTCTTTCCGATCTCCATTCATTTGATTTTATTTTATTTTATTTGATTTGTGAATTTGCATAGATTTCATCTCATTTACTTGTTATTAATTTTTCCTATATTGTGCTGTAATTAAGCACCATCAATTTTCAAGGTGTCGTCTTTGATTTGTGGGTAATTTGCCTATAATGTGGGAATTTTGAGTTGAAATTTTGATTTGGTGGTAATTGTTTTTTAATGTAATGTAATTGCTGAAACCCTAACCCCAGAGTTGATACAAGGCAATTCAAAATGAATTCTGTTTAATTGCAACATTACACCCATTTTCAAAATTTGATCAACATATTTATCAAATCTTAACAAAAATGTGATTACTTTGAGGTCTCGACTTCTCTTGTTGCTTGACGGATCAGTTGTATTGCTTGAAATGTGATATTAGCAGCCTTTTGATCTCTTTATGAATTAGAAAACATGAATTAGTAGAGTTTGAAAATCTTTTGCTCTCTTTTTTTTTTTGGTTAAACGTTTTTACAATGGAACAATTTTAAATATGTACTTTGTAGTTCGTACTCCATATATATAACATATGAATATTTCACCTTGTAATTGTGCAATGCATGCTTGGTGTAATGTTGGGTAACTCATGTGTTCTGTTTTATGTTTCAGTGAACAATCCCAAGAAATCTGGGCCGATGCTGAATGAAACATTTTTAGGTCTGCTTTATCCAACAGAAAACTACAAAGTGTAGGTATCTTTCCCCTTGAAATTTTGTAAGGTGGGATCAGTTGTATTGCTTGAAATGTGATACTAGTAGCCTTTAATAATCAGTTTTTTGTTGCTTGCAGATATGGCTATTTGACCAACACTAAGGTGAAATTCATCTTGGTAACCACCGATTTAGATGTAAGAGATGCTGACATGAGAAATGTAAGTATATAGCTAAGATAATCTTTGAGATCTTTCATAAAATAAATTGTGCTTGTTATGGATTGTGCTTTTTGTCCTTCATGTGGTTAATGTTTTTTTGCAAATTTGCTTGATTTGGTATTGGAACAATTGTGGGTAAAACAATGCTGCTGTGATATTGCTGGCTTTGTTAAAAAATGAGAATGATGCTTTATTACCCCAGGGGAATACTACCTCTGGTTCCAATCTTTCTAGTATGCGTGGCTGAGATAATGGTGGATCATATGTGGTGCACGTGCATCTAGGAGTCATTGTATCATTTATCTGCTATAAGAAACTGCACTCTTGATCTGCTTTTGGTTGTCAAGATTTAGGTATGAGGTGATAATGAAACGATGATGCTAAATGACTGGTTTAGGAATAACTCTAGGTAGTGCCTGAATATTCAGATTATCTGCTCTCTATTATTTCATAATAAATGATGATAGCTGTTCGGTAAAGCTCTGAATGGTGTGTTCAGGAGATTGAAAATGGATTTTGGTGCATTCTAATGACAAACTATTTGTGTGTGTGTGTGTGTGTCTGAATGCTGGTTATTTTGTAAAGCTGATTGTATGTACTTTGGGTGTATCCAGTTCTTTAGGAAGTTCCATGCAGCTTATGTTGATGCGGTTTCAAATCCTTTCCACGTCCCCGGTAAAAAGATAACCTCTCGGACATTTGCTGAAAGGGTCAGTAATATTGTCAAGTCTTTTGGATTGGGTTCATCTGGATGAAGTGTGAAACTGTTAACATCTGCTCTTTATTTGGGATTCGTGAAGCCTCTATGCTCGAAGTATCTGACCTGTTTTCATTGCTGAAGGAAGTTGACTGCAGCCAAAATATAAGGTGATTTCATTTTGTTATGGGGATTGTAGCAGTTAGGCACAAATTATATTATCATGAACTATCCTGTTGATGCCCTGATTTTTTGAGCTTTTATCTCATAAAGAAGCTAAAGGGTAAAATCTGTCAGAGCTTGTATATTGTCACCTGATCTTTTACATTCATTCAATAGCAGGGGTGTTTTTGTAGAATATCATTTTCATTCTTATTTCAATTCATAAAAGTCAGTTTCTTATTGACTTGAAGACACTTTCAACTATATTAGTCTATCATTTGTTAGTATAACAAGTCACCTCAAAATCAATTGGCCCTATTGAAATGTTATGGTGAGGCCAGGGGTCATGTTGCAATTTTATGGCGAGGCCAAAGTATTGTCAAAATGTTATGGTGAGGCCGGTTCCATGTAAGTTGATTTGACAATTTAAGGTGTTAATTGATATCACAAGCACATGATGAATATCTGAGTTCAGCAAAATCAGTTTTTAACAAAGTAACATCAATTTGAAATTACAACACAAAACATAACATTACCGGGAAAATGAAATTTAAGAAAGCTCAGAACAAGTTTAGCAGAAAATTCTCTCCCCAAGAGCTTAGTGCTCAAGAACAAGTTGCCCAGGATCAATATCAGCCTTCTTAGTAAAAAACCTAGTTAGATACGCAGAAAGCAGCTTTTCTCTAAGAATTCTCATCCCAAACCTGTCAAACTCCTGTGCCCAACCCAGCATATAACCTGTACTAATAAGATCAAGTGCTCTCCACCTCCTCTTCTTTGCATAGTCGTTCAACCCCCTCTTTATACGCTCATACTCATTCTCATCATTCTGCTTCTCCTGGCAGCTGGACTTCTCTAGCAACACATCGGCAAGGCATCTTCCTAGAATGACCCCATCTTCTAGAGCCGAGCACCCTCCTTGCCCTAGGTCTGGTGTCATTGGATGACATGCATCACCTGTTACGCATACATTGTCTTTGCTTATGTTGCCAAATAATACCTGCCATGGAGGTCTATACTCTAGTGGAGAGCGTACAAATTCTTCTACTTTTGTGTCTTCTACCACAGCCCTTATTTGGTCAGGTACCTTCCCAAGTTTACTCAGCAAAAATTGCTTCAGTTTCAGTTGATCAGCTTCTTGCAGTGTACTATTCTCTGTTATTATAACATACTACAAGTTAACAGCACATCTAACCTAATGATCACCCAAAAAAAAAAATATTGAAAAAAAATTATGCAACTCTTTTTACTGTGAAACCTAACTACATAGTCTACATCTACATTATTAAGTGATGGTCATGTATCTGTTAGTTTGGACTGAAAGAGTAAAATAGGATAGTGCTTTTGATACATAGTAGACTTGCTATCCTGGGATTGTGCACAAGGCAATAAGCATACCTTGAGCAGATGGCGACCAGGTGAAAAACCAATAAACAGCAGTGTTATCACAGGGAATGATACCATATCTAGCACCATTTCCGACTAGGACCTGAAATTTGGGTTCAAACCCATGGCCATCCTTCTAATATGCACAGCCCCTTATAGCTGATCTACCTGTCAGTGACGGTGGTTTGAATCCTAGCCACTTTGCCACCACTGAATTCACTCCATCACACCCGATTAATACCTGTTTGTGAAAAATGATATTAGAAGTCTGTCAGTCATCGTAAGAGCCCCTCCCTACATAATTGTAACCATGAAGACACAGGACATAAATGTCAGAAACTTTACAAGGATCAATAAGCCATCCAAAAACATACATCCTTGCTAAATTTAGTTTAGATAGCAATAATAGCAAACCATAATGTTGCATTTTCTTATAAAAACTATTTATGACTTCTGAACTCAATCTTAATTTCCCGACTGTAAGATGGTATTGTAATGAAAGGATATGAATCTCTTGTAGATGTCCATATTAATGCTCAGTTTCAATACCTTGGTCTTAAGGATGGAGCCGTCGGCAAGGTGTACAAGCTTTGAGAATCCTGCTTCTTCTATAGAAACAACTTTGGACGAGTACCTTATTGTACCATCTGGTAAATCCCTTGCAAGCGCTTCTAGCAGGGCCTTGCGTCTCACACAGCGAGCCTCATGATCTCCACTGTTTTTTTCTTAACTTTTCAGTATGTAAGCCAAACAACAAGGTAAATAAAGAAAGAAGTGAAGACAAACTTACTATTTTCCCTTCTCTGTAAATGAAACATATGAAGTCAAATCACCTGTAACTGAAGATATAGAAGATACCCTGCATCCAATTCATGAAGAGATATAGTTAAGAAAAACATCTTTCATGACTTTTATGGTTAAATTAAGGAAGCAGAACAAAATGGTGAAACCAATGTTACTCGGACTCAGGTACCTATGTCTAAGAGCTAGACTAGCCCTGCAATGATACATTTATATGATTTTGGTCCAAAATAAAAGGTCCAAGGTGGGGTGCATATAGTTCCACACCCATATTATAGTGAGGAGTCTATTTGACACAAAAATATAGATTAAAGAATCCGAGTACCATAGAACAAAACAATACTACTAAATCAATATTGCATAGTAAGAGATGGTGCACCCATATAGCTGGCCATGCTGTTGCCTGAGAGAATCGCCGATCCCAAGAGCATCCAAAGCCCTCCAAGCATTGGTCCAAGTTGTGAATGCAATCCCAGCAGACTCCAACACCAAACATTTTATTCCCAACCTGCATATGAACAAATTACACATTAATTTTATAACCATTCATACCTCCGTGCAAAATATGAGTTACTCCTTCCGTCTATTATTAATTGTCCAGTTGATATCATGATATATGAGCTACTAACATGACAACTAAATTTAGACGAAGTTAGTATATGGCGAGTAACACTCCATGTACGTACCTGTGAAGAGCCAAAGCTGTAGCATGACCAGATATTCCAGCTCCAACAATGACAATATCTGTGTTCACCTCCATCTAGTCTAGCAAAAACAAAATAGAAAATTTTACACAAAATTGCCTACAAACATGAGATGATGACAATCGCAATCTATTTATAGTATCAATAAATGAAATTTAGTCAACCAAGGTGGCTGAACTTGATAAAATGAAGCAGTCACTGTTACTTTGTTACCTTCTGCTTATTGGACCAATTTGACCCATGTCGCTATTTTTGCCAATTATTGATTTGAGCCACGCCAAAATCAGCAATTAGGCGGCTTATGTTAACACCTTTGACAAGTAAAAACCCATCCCGGGATTTTTTTTTTTTTTAATTACTTCCTCTGTTTCGTTATGATTTTTACACATATTTATATTCTAACCTTCATCACATATTATTACTAATAAATGAAAAATTTATGATTAAACTTATTGATGGTAAAAGTTGGGTGTTGAAAACTTGACATGCGCAAAAACTTACTGGTAAGAAAATATGTAAATTGCACTGCTAATTGGCAAATGCAACTTTGATTTTGGATACTTCATCTTTTTAGAGTGTAAAAGGTTTTCTTCCCTTAATGATTACTCCATATAATGTACATCCGTCAGAGAAGTTTCACAATTTATTCATGATTTACGGTTATTTCAAATCAGGAATTCAGAAATTCGGATCAAGTAACAAACAATTTGCTCAATTTTGTTAAGAAGTAGCACATATGCCTTGTTTGGCAAATGGCTGTTGGCGGTTGGTTGTTGGCTGGTTCACTTGGCTTGTTTGACCAGCTGGAATGTTTGGCTATTTATAATGGCTTTTGAATTGGCTGTTTACAAAAGTGTTTGGTAAATTAATTGGTGGTTGTTAGTTGTTTATTAGATAATTTGTGGGCCAACAAGCCAAAAGCCAACAAAAAAGCTACTCAAAGCAGCTTTTTCATTTTGGCTTAAAAGCCAGCTTTTTCGCTGACTAAAAAGCCAATTACCAAACACATTTTTTGGCTGTTTGACCACCTTAAAAAGCCAAAAGCTAACCAAAAAGCCAATTACCAAACATGGCCATAAACGTTGATCAGTGTCTGAGGCCATATGGTAAATTGTATGACCAATAATACAAACGTCATCCATGATTCAATTTAAGTCAATAAAATACTCTTCAAACAGACTCAGCCAGCATTCAGCTAGACTACAGCAGTATAAATTGAAGATCAATCAATGAAAAGCGCGCTACTTGAGGTCAACAAAGTACTTAAGGTCCATTAAGTTCAAGCAACTAATCTTGTGAATATAGCATAAGGCTTGCAGAGAGTACTGTCTCCATGAACCGGTTATAATTCCAGCACTAGTTGTCTAGGATCAAAATCAGCCTTCTTAAGAGACAACCCTGACAAATACGCAGAAAGAAAATTCTCTCGTAAAAACCTTACACCAAACCAATCAGACTCCTGTATCCAACCCACCATATAACCTGTGAAAATGAGTTCAGATGCTCTCCATCTCCTCTTGTTTGCATAATTGTTCAACGCGCTCTTTATCCTGTCACGGTGGTTATAATCATTTTCACAGCCTAATCTCCTCTGAGAAATCGAGTTATTTAGAAAGGCATTGGCAAGACATCTTGCTAGAATGATACCGTCTTCTAGAGCTAAGGACCCTCCCTGGCCAAGCTCTGGTGTCATTGGATGGCATGCATCCCCTGCTACACATACATTGTCTTTGCTTATGTTTCCAAATAGGACCTCCAATGGAGGCCTATATCCAATTGGAGAACATACAATTTCTTCTACTCCGGTGTCTCCTATCAACACACTTATTTGCTCAGGCACCTTACCAAGTTTACTCAACACAAATTGCTTCAGCTTCAATTGATCAGCTTCTAGCAGTTTCCTGTTTTCTGTTACATCAGTCATCAGCTAGAGTATTTAACCCGACACTCAGTTATATTAAGTGTCTCAGCTTGACCACATCTTTGGGCCTTTGGCATACATTGTATTTTAAAGTCAATTTTAAACCTATGATATAAATGATAGTTTAACCATATACTACATATTAGCTTCAATTGATCAGCTTCTAGATAAAGATAATTGTATAATAGGCAATACCGCCAAAAAATACCTTGAGCTGATGGAAACCAGGTCAAAAACCAATAAACAGCATTGTCATCACAGGGAACAATAGCATATCTAACACCATTTCCCATCGTCAACTGAAATTTAGGCTCGAAACCATGGCCTTTCTCATAGTATGCAAAACCCCTTATAGCTGATCTTCCTGACAATGCTGGTTTCTTGAATCCTAACCATTTTGCCACCACTGAATTCACCCCATCACACCCAACCAATACCTGTTCATTTATAATGACATCAAGAACCAATTAGCCATCTTAACAATCTTCCCTGCATTTTCTAATACCTCAATAATATTCCGAAACCAAATTAGAGATCAATGACCACCTTAAAATCCAAGGTTGGTTTTCTGAAATCAAATTGGAGCCATATATTGGTGGAATGTTGGTGTTAAAAGATTCATTCTATCAATTTATGTTTAGTCCTTTGAAAATCTTGGATGATTAAAATGTTCGGCATTATTATTACCTTGGCCTTAAGAGTAGACCCATCAGCAAGGCACACAAGCTTCAAGGAGCCTGATTCTTCAATAGAGACGACCTTGGAGGAATACCTTATTGTGTCACTTGGTAATTCCTTTGCAAGCGCTTCTAGTAGGAACTTTCGTTTCACACATCGAACTTCATGATCTCCACTGCAGTTTCTCATAGTTCATTATTTCAATGCTAAGAAGTAAGACCAAACTTAATACAAGTGAATCAATAGGGAAATAGAAAGGTAGATTAAACTATAGATCACTTTTAACTTACTATTTCCCCTTGCTTGTTAATGAAACATTTGAAGTCAAATCTCCTGTAACTAAAGATGAACAACATATCCTGCACCCATACAATTACAGAGATATCATGACTTTTAATTTTATGCTATATATAAGACCAAAGTTTAGGAAATAAAAAAGATCAAATTGAAACAAATCTAGCAGCTATATCCCATATTAAATATGTGGAGTGAAACACATATGTAGTTACCCAACAAGCTGGCCATGCTGTTGTCTAAGTGAATCGCCGAGCCCAAGAGCATCCAAAGCCCTCCAAGCATTAGTCCAAACTGTGATAGTGATCCCAGCTGCTCTCAGGACATCTGCTGATTCCAACACCAAACATTTTATTCCCAACCTGCAAATAAGAATTGGCAAAAAAAAAAAAAAAAAAAAAAATCAAATGAAGAAGTTAACAAAGCTTTGAAGTGATAATGTACCAATATATACCTTTGAAGTGCTAAAGCAGTAGCAAGACCAGATATTCCAGCTCCAACAATCACGATGTCTGAAACAATTTCCATCTTCCTAGTACCTCTTCTTGCAAATTAGCAAAAAAAAAGACGGCCTTTCAAAGAATTCCTACAGATATGAGATGATCATGTCAATATTTCCTGTATGTACTTATATCAGTACATTAACCGGGAAGTTTAGCACAACTTGACTGAAACATTGGACGCGTTCTTTGGCAAACAAGATGGTTTAATCCAGGTCGCCATCTATCAGCACTAGCAAATTTGTATTGTATTATTAGTCTACAGAACATTATTATCTTAAATACTAAACATCATTTAACAAAGCCAATTGTCTCATTTCCTATCAATTTTTTCAGAGAGACTTAATCCAGTTAAGGCAAGTGGGACTGATGAGCCATTAAACTAGTTAAGTCATAATCTTAATCTAGTGATATTAGGTGAGAAAATAATGGATCATAAAATTTAAGCTTATATTACAAATATGGTCAGAACTGGATGTTTGAATATCAATCTGCTCCTATAATCTAGCTTAATTACCACGATTGAAATTGTTAAATATTCAGCTAACTTATTAGTTCATTACTCTGTATCAATTTTATTTACGTAGTATTCTACGCTTCCACAGAAGTCCATAACATTTTCTTAAACTTCACTTGTTCGAAATTCTAATTGAATAATTTACTACTAAATCTACAAAGACTGAGTAAACAGAAAGAACCTTAGAAAAATAAAAGTAGCTGCTGTAAATTAGGAATTTTCGTCCCATATTTTTTTGAGCTTATTGATTATTGTTGTATGCATGTCATCTTCTTGCAGAATGATGTACAGTTCTTGTGAAAAACATTGTACAAATTAAAATTTTACAGGAAGAAAAAGGCAAGACATAAAGCATAAGTTATGCAGAAATTAAAGTACTTAATTATTTCATGAGCTTTAATATTCGAGCACAAGTTGTCTAGGATCAACATCAGCCTTCTTAAGAAACAACCCTGAAAGATATGCAGAAAGAAATTTCTCTCTTACAATCCTCATACCAAACCAATCAAACTCCTGTATCCAACCCAGCATATACCCTGTACTAATGAGGTCAAACACTCTCCATCTCCTCATCTTCGCGTAGTTTTGTAGCCCGTTCTTTATCCTCTGATGTTGATCCTCATTTTCATGATTTACCAAGGCATCAGCGAGGCATCTTCCTAGAATGACCCCGTCTTCTAGAGCAGAACACCCTCCCTGGCCTAGGTCTGGTGTCATAGGGTGGCATGCATCACCTGCTACACATACATTGTCTTTGCTTATGTTTCCATATAGGATCTCCCATGGAGGCCTATATCCTAGTGGAGAACGTACGATTTCTTCAACTTTGGTGTCTTCTATCACAGCCTTTATTTGGTCAGGCACCTTCCCAAGTTTGCTTAGCACAAATTGCTTCAGCTTCAGTTGATCAGCTTCTTGCAGATTTTTGCTTTCTGTTAAATCAGTCATATTTTAAGTCTCAGTTTTTTTATTTAAATCTTTGGTTTGTAATTACAAATTTCATAATGGTATAATGCACTTTGAGTATATAGGCTAAATAATTAACAGTGAATTCATTATATAACTTGTTACTAATCATGATTTGTATACCTTCAGAAGATGGAGACCAGGTCAAAAACCAATAAACAGCAGTGTCATCACAAGGAACGACGCCATATCTAACACCATTTCCCACAAATTGATGAAATTTAGGCTCAAAACCATGGCCTTCCTTGTAGTATGCACAACCTCTTATAGCCGACCTTCCGGTCAAGGATGGTGTCTTGAATCCGAGCCATTTTGCCACCACTGAATTCACTCCATCACACCCCAACAGTACCTGTTTGTGTAAACAACATTAGAAGCCTGATAGCCATGTTATTAACTTCGTTATATTTTCTCATATCTAAGATTAAAACCTGTAATTAAGGAAATACAGAGGACAAGAATGTCAGTTTCAAATTAATACTGATGAAAATAAGGATCATTAACCTATAACCGAAAAGCATGTACTGATGCATCCTAGCTTACTAGAGTTTTCAATCACAAAACCGAATGAACTATGTTTGGTTTCTGGTTCATCATAATTTTACTACGCATATAGGTGCAAGTGTGCAACGGAATTAACTATGAAGTAAAATATGCAGCCTTAATACCTTGGCATTTAGGGTGGATCCATCTGCAAGGTGCACTAGTTTTAATAAGCCTGATTCTTCTATAGAATCCACCTTGGAGGAATATCTTATGGTGTCACTAGGTAGTTCTTTTGCAAGTGCTTCTAATAAGGCTTTTCGCCTCACACATCGAACTTCATGATCTCCACTGTACATTCAGTAAGACCATCTTAATTCAAAGTGAAACAACTGTAAAAGAAAATAAAAGATGACATCTAAAATAAGTACTTCAAACTTACTGTTTTCCCTTATTTGTGTATGAAACATAAGAAGTCAAGTCTCCTGTAACAGTAGATGAAGTATATATCCTGCAACCATTTTATTGCAGAGATTATATATGTGTCTGAAGTTAATGTAAGAAAATCAGATAGAAACAGGTATATTTAGTTACCCAAATAACGGGCCATGATGTTGCCTGAGTGGATCGCCGATCCCAAGTGCATCCAAAGCCCTCCAAGCATTAGTCCAAGTTGTAAACGCGATCCCAGCTGCTCGCAGTGTATCTGATGATTCCAACACCAAGCTTTTAACTCCCAACCTGCATCAAATGAACAAGTATTTTAGTTACTCCTCTTTCAACTTAATTTAGTATAACTGCATATCTTCAGTTTGCTCAAAGGTGAAATTTCAGGAATAATAAAAAAACTACACATTTAAGACGACTCATATATCTATAAAGTGACAACGAGTCACACAAAATTCATTACCATTCCCACGATTTATTACAAGACAAAATATATACCTGTGAAGAGCTAAAGCTGTAGCAAGACCAGATATTCCAGCTCCAACGATCACAATATTTGCGTCTATTTCCATCTTTCACAAAATTTTGCAATTTTTGAGATGACCATATCATTATTCCAATATTCATATATATATTGATATGGTACGTCGTATAGGGCGGCGTACACATGGCTGGAACAGTTATATATACAGGAATAACTTTTTTAATATAGAGAAGATGCTTTTGTTGACAAGTATGACAACTTAGATGAATTGATTTTGACCATATTTTCGTTTTATTAATATGTTTATGTATAGTTTAATCTCATATAATAATCACATTTTATTAGTATACTATAGTTTATATCAATCTTAGTATTAAGGAAATCTAATTGGTTCATCATACAGAAAAAAGCAGGGGGGGAACAACATGGGATTGATGAGCCACTAAACTAAGAAAAGGCAATGCATCTTTAAGATAGTGATGTTAAGTGAACATCAATAGGTGTCAATTATTTATGGTCAGAAATACCCATGTCCGACATGAGTACATGTCCAAGTGTCTGACTCGGCTATTTTGTTAAAATTCTATGATTTTGAAGTAAAATGAAGTGTCCAAGTGTCATACTAATGTCCGACTATTGAGAATCCAATACGAATACTTTAGATAAAATAAAGAGTCCGAGTAACATAGGTCAGAACTAGATAATTTTGAGTTCATTTGATGTTTTTACAGATTCACTGTTTACAAGACTATCAAAACATTATCATTCAAAAAGCCTCAACTTTGATGGTCATTCTTTTACAGTAATTTTTTTTTTTCCTCCACTAATTTCTTGAAGCTAGACAGAATATAGAGTGCACTTGTTAAAAAATGAGGTTAATTAAAGCTCATTTCTTCTTCCATTCAATATAATTTTTCAAAACCAGACTAAACAAACAAAAGGAGCATATAAATCATATGATAAACTATATTATGTATTCTCAGAGCAGTCCACAATTGAAATCAGCCTTCTTCAACAGCAAATTAGCTAAAAATGATGCCATTACTTTGTCCCTCAAAAAACTCACCAATTTCCCATCACTCTGTTGTAGGAAACCTACTATATATGCTGTAGTAACAAGATCAGCACCTCTCCATTTTCTATCCTTAGCATATTTCATCAAGCTTGTCTGAATCTTCTTGTATTCTTCTACTTCCAAATTCTCCTGCTCTACTGACTTACTCACTGAAATTGCCTCAGCAAGGTATCTTGCAAGAATAATCGCGTCTTCTAAAGTAGCACACGCACCTTGACCTATGTCAGGGGTCATCGAGTGAAATGCATCCCCTGCAACACAAACATTATCTTTGCTTATATCACCCCAAATTATCTCCCATGGAAGCCTGAATCTTAGAGGAGAGCATATGATGTCCTCCACTCTAGTCTTCTCGATAATAGCCTTTATTTGGTCTTGTACTTGTCCCAAATTACTCATCACAAATTGCTTCATTTTCATGGGATTTTCTTTAATTTCTTCATCTACTAAAGAGCACATATAATAAGTAGTGAGTGTCATAGTTACCGAGGAAAAAGACTTACATGAAAAATCAATTTGCTTACTGCTTACTATAGTGGAATAGAATACCTTGGTTGGATGAATTGAAAGTGAAAAACCAGTAAATGCTAGTGGGATCACAAGGGATGATCCCATATCGAAAACCATGTCCAGTGAACTGCATAAATTCCGGGTTTAGGCCATGATTTTCTTGTAAATGAACGTAACCCCTAATAGCGAACCTCTTGGTGAAGGATGGCTCATTGAACCCAAGCCATCTTGCTACAACAGAATTTACTCCTTCACACCCAATCACCACCTTCCAGAAAAAGATGCATTTGTCAAGATGCTTATATTGTTGATAAGTAATAAGGAAGTTATGTGTTCAGCTTAAGAAGGCTGGCTTCTAAATATACCTTCGTCGTAATGACTGAGCCATCAGCAAGATGAAGCAGCTTTAAATGGCCTGATGTTTGGATGCTAACCACCTTAGACGAGTACCTTATTGTTTCCTTTGGTAACTCGTTTGCTAGAGTTTCTAACAGGACTCTTCTTTTCACACACCTTATTTCATGGTTTCCGCTGGCAAAACATATCATTCTTATAAGCATGTAATACAATCTACATTAGAAGCATGCAAATTATTTATGATTTTACTGACTAAATACAGACAGAAAAATAAAATTGAGTACTTACTATGAAAGTTGTGCTGTTGGAATCCCTGATGTTGCTGATGTTACAGTGATCCTGAACCATGTCATTTAGCAATCAGTTACTTCAAACTCTTTTTGGGAAAAGCTTATACATGGTTCACTTAAGAAAACCTACTGATTATGAAAAGTGATGCACATGGATATGTAATCTTTGTATGGTATTAAACCCATGCCCCGTTTCAAAGTATAAGGTTGCGTACATCTGACTCCGTACACACACTTAAAAAGAGCAAGACAGAGTGTTCACCTGGAGAGCCGGCAGTGTTGTGAACGAAGCAAGTCAGCAATACCAAGTGCATCAAGTGCATTCCAAGCATTAGTCCATGTAACAAATGCAGCACCACTTGATCTCAAACTATCAGAGGATTCCAGAACTAAACTCTTCAATCCCAACCTTCAAAAGTTATACTATGTAAATCAAGATGTAATCATAAAAAAAAGGTCTTTCTAAATTATAAAAAGAATAAAAGAATTGAAAATTGTTATTGGAGAAGTGGGTATGTTTTACCTGTGAAGAGCTAATGCCAAAGAGAGGCCTGCAATGCCACCTCCAACAATAACAATGTTTTCATTTACATCCATTGTTGTTTCAGAATTCAGAGACCTGTATTTTCTTGTTTTCTGAACACCTCATTATATAGCACGCCTTCAGACAGCAGCTGATCATTTATTATAATATTATTGAGAGACAGGTGATCTCATTGCTGATGTCACATTTCCTTATATGTCTACAGCGTAGTTACGGTCTGATTAGTTGATGGGGTGGCAAGGTGTAGATATTAGGGTGTATCGGTTTCATCCCCATCCATTCAAATGTACGGTGTATCGATTATTGAATACAAGTACTTCGTATTAAACAAAACAACCTCTGAGACGTATTATATTGCATGTAAATTAGGTACTCTTAGATGTACTACAACCTCCGTTAATTATTATCAGCAACTTTAAATATGTAATACCCTTTGATATGCTTTCAGACTGTCGGTTTACTCAGTTTATAGAACAGCCTTGAGGAAAGTAAATCAGGGGATGTAAAAAGCCAAATATCTTAGCCAACAAACAATTCAGCTCGTGAAAAATACTTCACTAGTTAAAACCAATCCAATTTTTTGTATACCCGTATGTACTATGATAGTCTGCATTTCACAAGGAGTATGTACGACCGAGCAAAACTATATATATATATATGTATGACTAATGTGGCTGATTTGTGGGAAGGTATTAAGCGTAAACAGGTAGTATCATATACGAAGTAACACATTGCATGTTTTTGAGACCTAAAAGGCAGTAATTCAAAATTTAAGGATAACACAGACTTGGTTACAAGTATTAGAATTCTACAAAAATGCTTAATCAAATTTTTTGGAAAACAATAATCGACAACATTTTTATAACAATCCAACCCTATCAATCTAATATCACTGCATTTTGGGAATAAATAAGTACTCCTGCAGGACCTGCACTTGCTATGATACCCAATAGGCCAACCAGCCAAAGATTACCTAAAAAAAACGGAAAATGATCCTAAAAATCCCCCAGGCCTTCTCTCTGTACCCGTATACAACTTCAAGAATCTTCCAAAGCTGCAAGTCCACGACAAAATTTCTCATCTGCTCTCCGGAAATTTAGCCTCATAATCTTGAGGTAGCTGCATCAAGAACACCACTCAACGCTTCAGCATTGGACTCCATAAATTAACACCTTACACCTAGAACAAGATCAAAGGATAACAAAAACACTTACCATGTATGTTGCACTTATCATCTTCCCCGCAAACCATCTGCCATGTAGTGCACGTTGTGCATTCATTGCTGATTGGGTGTTGTCAAATTTCAAGTATACAAATCCTTCAGTATTCCTGAATCCCAGAAAAATTAAACAAAGTGAGAAAGAATAAAGATGAGTTCAAAATGCTTAATCCGCTCAAAATACTTGCAAGAAGCCATTGTTCTGAACATATAGATGCCAATTATGGATTGCAAACAGACAATGCCTAAGACAAAAGGCAAAAACAAAAAAAAATGTGCAAAGACTGCCACTTTTAAGGCATTTTGAAAGCACCGTCAGAACTCACATTCACATAATAAATAAATTCTGTGATTGTTGGCAAAGGTTAAAAACATTCAATCCGTAATTTAGGACCTTTTACAGCACCAGCTATATTTCATGCCAAGTATTGATACAGCATACAGGCAATGACATTATCCAGTAGAGACACAGAACCAAAACTGCCAGACATTAGACATGCTCAAAAAGCTTTAAGTTCATACTTGTCTACAAAGATGTGTTTCAGTGGCCCAAATTTCTCACATTCATCCTGCACATCGTCCTTTATATCAAGATCAAAATCAGGTTCAGTCTGAAAGAAAGAAAGAAAGCAAAATATCAGCAACAAAAATATTAGCATTCCAAGAAACCTGTTATGAAGTTGCTACAAACCTCTAGCTTTGGATCAAACATATTTTTCAACAATAGACATTCACTGGGGACACCTATAGTGTCTGCCATTGAAAGAGTGCTTAGTGGAGCAGAAAGACCAGCACCAGGCAATCCTCCAAGAGGTGCTACAGAAGGCTGTGTGAGAGGAGAAACTCCAGGAGCAACCCCGGGCATTGGTGCAGTAGCCATAGAAAGAGCTCCGGTATTAACAGCTGAAGAGGCAAGTGAACCACCAACACTGCAGCACAGAAACATCGTTCAGAAGACTATTATTTGGACAGTGAATTCTGACACCTAGTTCCCTCAACATTGACGAATAAACATACCACCAACTCAAATTGCCACGTGTATAATAAAGCTTAAATATTACTACAGTTATTAAAAACTGGACTTTGAGCCAATTATATTGAAAGATACTAACCCGGTAGAATTGCCACTGCGATCCAACTTTTGCATGAGAAGCGCTCGAGAACTTGCATTTAAAGCCTTTGAAAAGAGCAGGAAAACCAAATAATTAATGCTTGGTTCTAATTTCAAAATAAGGTGAACAGATAGAACATATTTTGACTGTATACACACCCATTTCATACAAACAAATACATAAATGATAAGTAAGCTAATATGGTTGGCATAAAGTAACTAGATTAGGGGGGAGAGAAAAAAGAATAAGAAATCAGAAGACTACTTAGCCCTATAGAGGGAGCTTATAGCTTTACAAGTATGAAGATTTCACTTTTTCAGGGCCTCAGATTTATTAGTTATTATGTCAAATTGCAGTTTTTTTTTTTTTTTTTTTTTTTTTTTGTCTTTTGAGAGGGGCGGGGTGAGATTAAGTGTATAAAATTAAACAACCATACGCAGTTAAGTGATCCCAACGGCTAAACACTAAAAAGTTGAACGCTAAATGCATATCAATTCAAGCTAACACAAAACATGTCCAACAACTACTGCATATTACTGTACACCATATGCCTAGATTACCTAGTATCCTTTCATTAACAAAAAAGAACTTTCGTTCGCCCAACTCTGTTTCATTAGCAATAGGCTATTAGGCATGCAACAATCAGCTCCTCTCACTTCTAACACCCCCTTGGCTCTCTCATCATTATTCCTCTAAAGTGCAGAAACAAGCTCCACTAACATCAAACAAAGTAGCGGAGATAGTAGATTACACCAGTGGGAAGAAATTCATACATCGATGATAAGTGAACAGTACACAACCAGATATATTCCAGTACTCCAGCCTACCATCCACTCACTAAAACGGTGACCATAATAGTCAGACTAACCAACAAAACCAGAGAGAGAGAGGGGAGGGGATATGCTGTAAACGCAGACAGAGCAAAAAGAGAGGTCAAGACAGCAGCAGTAACAAATTCACTGTAACAAACACAACCAAGAACTAGCTAGATAGATTACTCGCCAGTATTAGCTACACGCATAAACCGCACAGAACAAGTTCAACACATTAAACAAGCATTGAGCCGAACAAAAAACAAAAAAAAAATTATATTAGCAAAAAAAACCTCTAAGAGACATCCTAAGATTCACATATAAAAAAAAAAAAAAAAAAAAATTATATTAGCAAAAAAACCAAAAAAACAAACAGGAGCCGAACACCAAAAAAACAACTACTCACCATGCCACCGCCTTCATCATCATCTAAATCACCAGTAGTTGCCCCTGCATCTTGCATTCCAGGTTGATCAGTGACAGCTGAAACCTGAAATAACAGGTAGCAAAATTTAAAAAGTAAATCTAGCAGTAATCAAATAAGTCACTTCATCAAGAAACATAGTATCTGCTTAGCCTAGCATTTAACACTGCTTTCTGATGCAAAGAACAAGAGGCATTGGCAGCCACCCATTTTTACAGAATTAAAACAGATTCAGAAATCTAGGTCGTTAAATAACACATATATGCAGAAACATCAGAAAATTTCAAAAACATTTCTGCTTCTAGTTCCACTTCCCACAAAGGGCATTCTTCAATTTCCAAAACTTCACTCAATAGTCATACATGCCCCAATTCAAACCACCCAAATTAAGGATGTAGGTTAATTTGGTTTGACTTCAAAACTTATACTATCATCAATCTAATAAGGTCAGAAAGAACTCCAAAGAATCCAGGAATTTCTATAACAAAACTTCATACAAGTATATCTCACAAAGCATGAGCCGGAAATCCATAAAACTTCATTGCCAGATGAAAAAGCTCCAAACAAGAAACTAAAAATGTGATTTATGTGGCACAAGTTTCTCTAAACTGAATGAATCTTTCCATATATCTTCCCTTAAAGATGAGAATAACAATGGGATTTTAGTAAGATAAACCAAACACCACAGTCGTCCATTTGCAACTTCAGCCACAATTGCAATGCTTTGTAGTCACTCAACACATAAGGCTTAAAACAAGAACAAAAACAACTTAGTATAAATCTTATTAGGATGAGGTTTGGGATAGTCCAAATGGACACAATCTTACTGCTAAACAGCCACACTATTCATGAGGCTGCTTTTGAAAGACCCGCAAAAACATTATTTAATGTTTGTTTTTAATGATAATAAGCATGTTTCTGCATATAAATTGGGAAAACATAAAGTAAAACCATTCAACAAACAAGACATAAGATAACATTTTCAACCAGCAGAACTACAGAACAGCTGTCAAGATTACCTTCATAACCCGACCACCAATATCCAGTTGTCCATTCAGAACTTGTGCTGCCTTGGCATCTTCAAGACGTGCAAACTGCAAAACATAACAAAAATCAAAACTAATACATGAAAACAAACTCAATAAGAATCAACAAAGAACAAATAGGCCTTTGGCAATTCATCACTTCAAGTAGTAAGCAACAAGAGGAGTAATTTGATGCATGAAAATATATGTCATCTTGTCAGAAAGTAACAGGGAAGATAGGGAAAAGGTACTGCAATAGTGATCACTTTCATCATTTGAACAGGAACATAAAATTGTAAAAACGCACAAAAAGTACTAGGACATAAATAATGACACCCCCATTTGTCTTTTATCTAGCATTTTTAAGCTTTACCATGCCACTGCATTTTACATTCCTTCAAAGCAGTCAATATGACGAGTAACACGCCTGAGTCAATCGTTTAATAAATCAAAAAAAGACCAACTTTGCTATAAATAACTAAGACATGCTCACCTGGACAAAAGCAAAACCCTTACAAAGACCTGCTTCATCACGAGGTAACTGCACCAACTCGATAATCCCAAATGATTCAAAAACCTGGCAAAATCCAAAATGTTACGCATCATAAAATAGATAGATGGTCAATAACCAAGAAAACACAAGGTCTGAATTTCAAATCTATAAGAGCAACCAAAAGATACAACACGAACAAAAAACTTGTGACAACTCACAAGTACATTTAAAAAACATAGCACAAAACTGCACCTAAATTTCAAACCCTACCCAACCAAGAATAACCTGGACAAACCTAAGTAAACATTAAAAAAAAAACATGTAAGATAATGATGTAAAAAAGCATGCCAAAACAGGAAATTTAAATTCACTGACCACAACTTGATCTGGCTGACCTATTTGAAATGTCTAGTAATTTCTAGCTAGATGGTATTCAGTGTTTCAAATAAGGTGGTAAAATTAGCTATTATACAGCTGGCACAACCCAATCACCTAGCTCTCTGGTCGTCTTAAAGAGCAAGTTTTACAAAATTGGCATAATAAATCATAAAACCATTATACTATGTCTATGTACAACTTTGTGTCTTCATAGCTGCATTCTTGCTAAATTTCCTGGATTCAGCTTAAGCTCCCAAACTTCCCGTTCAATCACAAACAGTTATACCATCTTTATTTCTCGTTACTCTTCATTACTACAGCAACTACTGTCAATCAACTATCTCCAAAAATTTCAGAAATTTAGAAAAAAAGTGAATATATACTCATGGAATAGCTTTCAAACTACAGTGTATACTCAGTTTATTACATCGTTAAATGAGTGGTATCTTTCTTGTAGACAGAGCATTAGAAGAGACCAAATATTACACCAAAGAACAAGTGACAAATCAAATAAGCATGGATCCAGACCCACACCCTTGCAAATTTGCAATAACATGAACCACAAAATACTGAAAAGGAAATGGGATTTATTACCACACGAAGTTGTTCTTCCGTAATGTTGGGAACCAAATTTCCAACATATAACCTCCGTGCTGCCCCTGAAACAGTAAGACCTGCTGCTGTAGTAGATGTAGACTGGACCAGATTTTTCTCAGCTTCAGAGGGTTTAACCATGACCGGTTGACCACGGATAAGTTGCCCAGAGAGTGCTATAGCCATGGGAACTGACATTACATCGTAGAACTCTATATAGCTGCACATATGAAATTAACTGTTCATTGCCTTGTGCACCTTCCCACTCCAAACAAGCAGAATAATACAGAAATATACACTCACGAACACATCATATTTGAACTAAATATACCTGCACAACTAAGTAACTGCCACATCATTTTTAAGCTGCAAACAATTGTGCTGTGCTTTTATTTAGTAAATGGGAGATTCATAGACTATTTTAATTTAGCAGGTACATCATTTTTCAACAGCAAAAACATACTTCTACAAAATTTGAACAGAAGGAATATTATATACCTCAAGATCACAGCAGTTTTTAAAAAATGAACCAATAGCACAGAGATGTTCCTAAAGTAGAGAATTGATGCACTAGCAGCAAAAAAATAATGAAGCACTCCTTCTCACCCTTCATATTATAAAAAGCATACACAACCAAACGTGATTTCCAGTAATTCAGCTTACACAACTGCAGATTGTCCTTTCAGAGTATTCTAAGTAAAAACCAAATTTCAACAACTAATTGATAGATTGATTGAAGGATACAAATCTAGAATATCCAAGTAATGAAAAATCAAATAAAATAATACCAATGAGGCAATGAGTGTTCCACAAAGATCCATAATTTCAAGTTATACTGTAAGTATAATTAAAGAGCTTACCCAACTCCCTTGGAACGTCTAGAATTACGGTCCATAATGAGTCGTACATCTCGAACCTACAAATCATCAACAGAGCTCACAAATTAGTGTGATATTGGGAAGAAATACTTATTTAAAAATATCCAGAAAGAATCTCATGAAAAATATAGCACTAAATAGATTTCTCACCTTTCCAGCTCTAGAGAAAAATTCAAAAATGTCCCTTTCATCTGCCCTTAGAGGGAGCTGCCATAATCAGACAGAAGTTTCAGCTAATAAATTTTTGGGAAGATGCAACTTGAAGAATGAAAAGTGAAGACAGACAGATAACATGAACAGAAACACACCTGATAAGCAAAGACTGTTCTCTGATCCCGCTCAGGATCAGCCTCTGGTTCTGTTGTGTCGTCCTTCTTTTCCTTGTGACGTCTGCAGTAAAATAAAATAAAAGAAAATCCAATAACTTAATACAGGGATAGTGAGATGAGAAAAGGCAGAAACAGAGACAACCACTTCATTGGGTAGAAACCTATGAAGAAAAAGTCAAGTCCTAATCCAATTCATCATATTAACGTAATTCATCAGACCAGCATGGATGTTTAAAACTATTATAGCAATTAAGAGATCTTGAAATAGCAGCAATCTGCTCCACTACTCGCATTAAAGTCGAACCAAGCCCTGCAGCGAACTGCAGCAAGTTACTAAAAGAGAACAAAATTTTACAAATAATTAAACTATGAATATCACAGGAGTAGAAGATGATCTGACAAACCTTTTGAAACATAATAACAGGAACATCATCAGCGCAGGAAAATTTCAAATAAATTGCTAGAGAACAAGGCATGCAGTTTTTTTTTTCATGAAGTATTATATTCAGGGAGTATGAGAGGGCTGAGAGGCTATCGGCATTGTATTAAGTGTAACTATATAAATGTAAATATTTCCTCAGACAATCCAAACAAGCACCATTCAATCTGCTAAGTAGCCTAAGTGAAATCACTTACTAAGGAGCTGAGCCAACATCATACATAGAGGGTGAAAAATAGAAGCTCCAAGCAATACATTTATTGAGCAGATTAAATGGTGCCGGAGGTAGAACAGACACATATAGCCATCCAACCAGAAAATAAGGTGAGACCTATCATGAAAGACGTCCAGGAAATAACTTGCTAGTAACAGCAATGCGAATTTCAAGTCTCACAGTGGAAAGACTCGTAAAGCACCGACTGTATCTCTGAGCTACTTTAATGGGAGAAAGATTTTAGGAGAGCCTCACAATTAGAAAACAGCATGCAATCAATACCCTAAGGATAGTCGCTAAACATTTTGATAGAGAATAATAGTCCTGCAAAATTATTTTGGCCTGCAAAATTATTTTGGCCAGCCTTGTTAGCCAAGTGAACACAGCTGATCCCAGAGGAATCAGAAGATGAAATGCTTCTCCTAAGCAAAGCCCATCACTCCCTTAACAGCATGTCTGCAACACAATAAATGAAATTAAGCACTGTGCTTAGAGGTGGAGGATAAGAAAAATTCTTAACAAAACATCATCCTAATTAGCCTCCAATACTGAAACCCAACAGCAAGACTTCTCTCAAAATCCCGGGGAGTTTAGGAAGAACATTAAAACCCATAGCTTGATTTCCAGAGCCTGGCTCATTTGCCAGAATGACCATCTGAAGATTGATCTAGCATATCTGCGAGTTCCCAGAATCTAGCTTTCAATACTTGGAATATTTTTACCATCAAAAGGACAAAAAAGAACACAAGTCATTACAAAAAGTCCATTCATAGGTATATTCACATAAACATTGATGCGGCACTTTTTGACTTTTTCAGAATTAACCAAAAACAGAGAGAGAGAGAGAGAGCTATTCAGCTATGAACCAATTACAAGAAAAACAAAAGAATCCTCACCAAATGACATAGTTAATAAAAATAAGTGATTGCTAGAAATATGTAACAAACTCCAAATTGGTTCACCAACAGATGAGTTTACACCTTTACAGATGGGTAAACAAAATATTAAACAGCATCATTAGCTGCATACATCAATACAAAAAGGAAATAAAAACATTGCACTGATGCCTGACATAACAAACAACAAGCTATATTTGAGACTGATTTAACAGCTTGCTATGACACATTGAAGTGTTAGCAAGAGATCCATTATTCTAAAGAAATAATAAGTTTGATGAATTATTATTGGTGGAAATCAAGCAGAATTAGTCAGTATCCATTACAAACTGGAAAAAGCACATACATATATCAAATCAAATATTAAAGTCCACCTCTGAAAGAAAGAAAATAAAATAACAGGATATTTATAGAGAGAGGTTTTAAAACAACATTACCTGCTTTCTTTGTCACGGATATCTCTGTCATGACTTCTTTCTCTTTCTTTTTCCCGGCTCTTCTCAACAATCTCTCTGTCCCGGCTTTTCTCTCTGTCCCGGCTTTTCTCTCTGTATTCCTTATCCCTAGTTCTCTCCCCATCCTCCCGATGTCTAACTGAATGACTCCTGCTACGTCGATCACGTTCATCTCTGTCCCTCTCACCCTCCTTCTCACGATCACGTTCCTTTTTACCAGAATCACGGTCTCTTTCGCGTTCTCTTTCCCTATCCCTATCCCGGTCACGGTCCCTCCCATTTCTCTCTTCTCTATCTCTATCCTTATCCCTATCTCCCCTGCTACTTCTACGCCTATCCCCATCCTTCTCACTCCTTTCTCTTTCCTTAGATCGTGATCGATGCCTGGATGAACGCTTCTCCCTATTCCGGTCTGGGTCTTGATCACGATCACGCTCACGTGCATCATCCCCAGATCTAGAGCGCTTAGATTTGCGATCTTCATCCTCATTGTCCTCACCCCTACGCCGAGAACTCCGGCTACGTTCCTTCTCCCCAGATTTTACTAGGTCATCCCCCCCATTGGTAGCTTCTTTCGATTTCGGTGGCTCAGGATTTTCTACCGTCTTCTCTAAATAATCATACTCATCAAAATCCATAATGCTCACCCTTCAAATCACTGCACCAAGACATTGTTCAGCAAGAGACAAACATATACTTTATAAGTACACAAAAGGATTAAACTCAACAACAACAAAATCGACCAAGCAATACAAATTATTCCTAATGGTATAGCACGAATACTCAAATGACGTAAAACTGAGTGCAAATCGAAAAATCAGGAAATGACAACTACAAGTTCCAAAAATTCACAGTAATTCCTCTCATAAATGATAAGTTGCCATAAACAAACATTAAACACCAAGTTTATAGTCAAAATTTAAAAACCATAAAGCGGTAACTCACAGCTGAGTAAACCCTAGAAAACCTAATTCCTAACCAAGTATCAAAAACATCAGAAATTTCCCCAAATTAACATCTTAAGACCGTGAATCCAACGAAAACAGATTTTCAGAAAATTAAAACCAAATAACAAGAACAAAAAGTAGAAATTCAACATACAAAATGGAAACCCTAAGTAAAAAAATTCATTGAAGTGAGACATAGTAGGTAAGCATTACAACGGAAGAATTCAATTGAAACGGAAATTGAAGAAATGTAATGCACAAATTAATCGAATCCAGAAAATGGAGGGAATAATAATGAAGATTACCTGAGAAAATGGTGGAGAAGAGCAAGGAGATAACGAAGCAGAGGAGAGAGAGTGGTGTTTGTTTATGTTTGAAGAGGGAGAAAAAGAACGAACGAACGAAAGAAACAACGAGAACTGCTACTTCTACTTGTTGGGATTTTTAAGAGATTTTTTTTCGGGGGCGCCTAATTTTTTATGTCTATTCTTTGGCTAGTTTTTGACAACTTGGAAGACAAATTGTATCCGGATAATATCGTTTTAGGGCAAGTCGTATGCGATGTATCACGTCTTTCTCCGTCACAATTTTTTATGTACAATTGGTTATATCTAGTCTATTAAAACGTGATATTAAAACTAGAAGAATGTTTAATGGACGAAGGCTGGAGGGGGTGATGTGTTGATGTGGGCATGTGGCTCTTGTAGCTTGTGGTACTTCTTCATTACGAATTCGCAAATAACAATCGAATTGGAGAGTTGGAGGGTTAGAGTTTGTACGTATAATATATAAATTAAGCAATATGCCCTAATATGTTAAGGAAATCATTGAATTGGAGTGTTCTAGGGTTTCGGTGTGCACAATTTTTTAAAAAATAAAAAAATTAAGCAAAATGTGTTAATATGTAAAGGTATTTTTGAGACATCTCGTCATTTGATACAAAACCTTATAGCAACAATTTGTTGAGTGTTACCATGATAGCATATGAAAATGAGGAATGGTAAACCTATTTTCACTGTATATTCCCAAATGTATAATTCATACTAGGGTAGAAACAGTTAACCCAACACAACTCACACTAGAGCCTAACCAAAAATTGGTGACCAACAACAAATATAATTCATACTAGTAACTACCACCACTTCTAAAAAAGTAAATTAACATGAACAAATTACGAAACTCTGCAGAGAAAATACAAAAATTCCTACAGCAGTATTGTGCTTATACAATACTAGTATAAAGATGATCATATTAACACATATAAAGGAAATTAGGGATGCATTGTTTCAAATGCACCCTAATAAGGCTCCGGGGCCGGATGGGATGCATGCTCTTTTTTTCCAGAAATTTTGGGGTACAGTTGGGAATGATGTGATTGGGTTTGTGCAGAATTGGTGGCGAGGTAATATTGATTTAAAGGAGGTGAATCGAACCTGCATTGTGTTAATCCCGAAATGCAATGATCCGAAGTATATGGCCGAGTTTAGACCTATCAGCTTATGCAATGTGTTGTATAAAATAATATCAAAAACTATGGCAAACAAAATGAAATTTATACTTGGTTCGGTTATATCCCAAAATCAGAGTGCTTTTGTCCCTAATCGTTTAATTACAGATAATGCACTAATTGCCTTTGAAATATTCCACGCGATGAAGAGAAAAGGAGAGGGAAAAGAGGGGTCGGTGGCGCTCAAGCTTGATATGAGTAAGGCCTATGATAGAGTCGAGTGGAGTTTTTTGGGAAGAGTGATGCAAAAAATGGGTTTCCCGCAGTCTTGGATTGATCGTATTATGAAGTGCTTGTCGAGTGTTTCTTTCTCTTTCAAGTATAATGGTGGGATTTCTGGTTCTTTGATTCCGACTCGTGGGTTTCGACAAGGTGATCCTATATCTCCATATTTATTTTTGATTTGTGCCGATGCTTTTTCCACATTATTATCAAAAGCGGCTAATGATAAAATAATTCATGGGGCTCAAATTTGTAGAGGTGCTCCGCGAATTTCTCATTTATTCTTCGCGGATGATAGTATTTTATTTGCAAAAGCTACTCTGCAGGAATGCTCTAAAATTGCTGAAATTATCAGTACGTATGAAAGGGTTTCCGGGCAAAAAATTAATCTTAGTAAGACAGAGGTCGCTTTTAGCAAATGTGTTACGGTGGAGAGGAGGAAGGAAATTATTGATACTCTTGGAGTTCGAGAAGTGGATAAGCATGAGAAATACCTTGGTTTGCCTACTATCATCGGAAAATCAAAGAAAGCTATTTTTGGGATTCTGAAAGAAAGAATGTGGAAAAAGTTGCAGGGGTGGAAAGAGAAATTACTCTCGAGACCGGGGAAGGAGGTGTTAATAAAAGCGGTCGCTCAAGCAATTCCTACGTATATGATGAACATATTTAGGATTCCCGATGGCCTAATTGATGAAATGCACGCCCTGTTGGCAAAGTTTTGGTGGGGTTCTAATGGTACAACAAGGAAAATGCACTGGCAAAAATGGGAGTATCTTTGTCTCCCAAAGTCGATGGGAGGGATGGGTTTCCGAGATCTTCGTGTGTTTAATCAAGCATTACTGGCCAAGCAAGGATGGCGCCTATGCAACAATCCGAACTCACTTCTTCACAGTGTCCTTAAAGCGCGATATTTTAAGAATTCTGATTTCTTAAATGCAGCAAGAGGTCATGACCCGAGCTATAGTTGGAGAAGCATTTGGGGCTCTAAAGCTCTTCTCTTGGATGGATTAAAGTGGAGAGTTGGAAATGGGACTTCAATTCGTGTATGGGATGATGCCTGGCTTCATGGGGATGGGTCACATTTTATTCCAACTCCTAGGGCTGATAGCAATCTTGATCTTAGAGTTTGCGAGTTAATTGATTATGAGAAGGGTTGCTGGTGTATAGGGACTTTGGATTCTCTTTTTTCTGAAAGTGATAAACAAGCTGTTATGCAGGTTCCTTTGTCTATTTCTTTCCCCCCTGACTGTCACTATTGATGGCCTACTTCGAGCGGTATGTACACTGTTAGAAGTGGTTATTGGCTGGGAAGACTTGGGTACATAAGATCGTTGGAGCTGCTGCAGGGGTTGAACACTGATGAAGTTTGGAATATGGTGTGGAATTTGGATGGGCCGCCTAAGCTCAAGCATTTCATTTGGAGGGCGTGTAAGGGGCAGATGGCAGTCTCGGATGTGCTCTTCCAACGCCACATTAGTGCTAATAGAGGCTGTCAAATCTGTGGAGCAACTGAGGAAACGATTTTACACTCAATTTTTGAGTGTAAATATGCGACTGTTATTTGGAGATACAGTGAGTTTACTGAGGTGATTGATGCTGGTCCGAACACATCTTTTGCTGAGAGATTTTGTTGGGTAGCAAGGACTGTTAGCAAGGAGGAGTTGCGAATTTTTGCGGCACTAGCTTGGGCTGCGTGGCACAGTCGCAATTCTCACATGTTTAATGGTGGGTCGTCTGTCAATGCAATTGATATGGCTGTGGGTTTTATCAGATTGTGCTCTGACTATGTGAACTATCAAGCAAAGGTGAGGGGGCCTGTTTTGCGACAAATTGCTGCTACTGCTATACAGTGGTCTCCTCCCCCTCCTGGCGTGGTTAAGGTGAATGTGGATGCGCATATCCCAAGTGGCAGTGGTGCTCAGTTTGGTGCTGTCTTTAGGGACTCCAATGGACGCCTTCTTGCTGCGGCTGTAAAGAGAACAGAAGCAACCTGTACGCCAGTGATTGCTGAAGCTGGTGCTGCGAGATATGGGTTGGAGGTTGCAAGACAGTTGGGCTTTGACAGGATAATTCTTGAGGGTGATTCGCAGGTAGTTGTGCAAGCCATCAAGACAAAGCAGCGTGGAGATGCTCCAATTTTTTTGATTTATGATGATGTAATTCGGTTAAGTGAGAGTTTTACTTCCTTTTCTTGCAATCATATTAAACGAAATGGGAATACTGTTACCCATTATGTTGCTAGGTGGGATACTAGTTCGGAGATGGAGAGTATTTGTACGAACTCCTTTCCCCAAAGCCTACACACTTTGGTGGACCTTGACTTAATATAATCTCCAAACTTTCTTTCAAAAAAAAAAAAAAAATACTAGTATTAGTCGAAAAAATTACCCAACTCAACAAGGGTTTATTACATGGAAAAATTTAAAACAAAAATATGAATTTTATGATCCCAACTTAATCCAAATTGGAATGAATAATTCTACTCCGTATTGGTTGTTTCTTGCAACTGGTGAATTACTCCCTGACACAGAACCGAGCTCTATTTACTAAATATTCCCCATTTCTTATCAGTAGACTCTGATTTCTGAGGTCCATCAGATCTTGGTATAGGTGGCTTCAAACCACCAGGAGCAGAATTTCTAGTAACGTCTGAAGGGCCAGCAATATTGGGGTTAGCATCTCCCGTTGTACTGTTAAACTTACCAAAACCTATTGACTGGGATCTAGGGCTGCCAGTATTACTAGGTGGCTGCTGGTGTCCAATGCTGCCCGATGAGTTACTATTAGGTTGACTTGATCGATTATGAATTTCACCCCTAGGCTGAGTCACATCTGGAGGAAGATGGAAATTTGTGGGTTGAGAACCTTCAAGTCCACCTTGTCTGGGGCTTTTAGGTGCATCTACCTTTGTACTGCTAAATGTACCAAATCCTGTTGATTGTGATCTAGAACTACCGGTACTAATAGGTGGCTGTGGGTGTCCCATGGAGCTCGATGAGTTACTATTAGGCTGACTTGATTGACTTTGAAACTCGCTCCTTGGCTGAGGAATATCATCTGGAGGAAGACGGAAATTCATAGATGGAGAACCTTCAACTCCACCTTGTCTGAGACCTCTAGGTGGAAGAGCACTAGGGTGAGGATGAGGGTGAGATTGGCGCTGAGTTTCACTATTACGGAATGTCGTAGGATTCCTCACAGCTGAAGAACTCTTTGCTGCGCTTCCGGCGTACCTATTTTCAATTTCTTGTGCGACTGGCCTTACATTTGGACCAGTAAAGTTGGGCACTCCAGAAGGAGCGAATCTTGCAGCATTATTATTGGATGTAGCAGCTGCTGCTTTGCCATCAAACCTGATTTGCTTCTCCTGAATGCTGGTAGTACCTTTCACATTATGGCTGAGACCAAACATTTCAGCAAAATTTTGGTCTGCACTAGAAACTGAAGTAGCTGGCCATGCAGGCTGTTCTTTACATTGCAAGGGTGCTTCTACATCATTATCCACATTGTCCATATCAGATTCTTCACAGGATGATGCTTCTCCCAAATCAGCAGGACTGTCACTGCAAGTAGCAGCAGCATTATGGATCTCTGGACTGGCAGCAGTTTTGTCCTTGGAACTGTCGGAAGACTTCTTGCCCCTTTTCTTTGACACACCAAATTTGACATGCCTAACTATTAAATATGCTGGTCTTTTTTCTTCAACAAACGCATCATCTTCAATCTACATCAGTTCAGAAGGCATAAGAACGG